GACAGGTCACCCCGTTTTTGGGCCCCCACGTTTGCACGTCCTTGGCCAGCAAAGATGTCCCCCTCAAACCCCCCTTTTTTTCGCGGTTGTCCTCAGCCGCCACCCCCGTGCCAAGCCCCCTTTACCCGACCGGCATATACATGTGCAGGGCGAACGGTGTCACGTTTTGGGCTGCCCCTTTGGTTTTGCCTTTGGCGAAAGTGGGTCACACAGGGGGGGGAATTTCTGAGTTTTAATAAAACAGAGAAATCGACGATGGCTTTTCCCCAACCCCAAAATAAAAATGGGAAACCCATTTTGGGACCAAACAAAAAAAGAAACTTGGTGTCTGTCTGGTAAGGGAAAAGGTTGTCCCATGCCCCCATCCCATGGTAAACGTTTTAAAATCGGGTTTGGGTTCAAGAATTTCCAAAAAATTCAACCATCCCATGCAAGAAACCCTTAAAAAATGTCACGAAAACTTTGCATGCATTTTCAGCCTTTTCCCTACACCACAAAGCACACCCCCCCTTGAGCTGCGGGGCCCCAAGAATGAATTCCACAGCATCGATGATCTGCGACGTTGCACATGGTGGAATTCAACCCTAAATTATGTTTAGACCGCCTTTTCGAACAAGCGAATGGCCATCAACGATTTCATGATGTTACAAGGCGGATAAAAAGGTACTAGACCTGTGTAACTTAGATGTTCAAGCCATTGGCCAGCTCATGCGTGACACTGCCGTGCTTGCTCGGCCCTTTGAGGACGGCCACGTATTCGTGAAGTCGGCAACGGGACTATGGATGAACGAACTTCATTCCTCTGTTTGCACGTCTGAACATAATGCTGTTAACAAATTCGGCTGGTTCAGGGTGGCGGTAGACGTGGCGCACAGATCTCAACGCATCATGAACCCCTGTGGGCGCGGGGGGGCAGGACAGGGAAGAAGAGGAGGAGGTAGAGGAGGGACATTGGTGCTCGAGGATTAATTGAGTGAAATGGGTGGTTTTTCCACTCAGCGGGTACAGGAGTGGGAGGAGCAGGAGCATCTGGCTAGAGGAGGAGGGAGGAGACAGTGGACCCAGATGCAACCGTTGGCAGTATTGCTGTGGACGATGGAGAAGGCAGGGTACTAGAAGTCCCTCGGCTATTCCTTGGCACAAATTGGCCTCATTGCATGCTCGCTTGCTTGCGGTAGCGACAGTGACCGAATAATAATACCATTCAGACAAGAGGGAATGACTTTTGGTCTGGATCCACCTTGTTGGACCCTCGCTTACCGTTCAAAAATTGGTGGCCTTTTTTCACACATGCTGAGAGGGAGGCCAAAAATAACGTTACTATAAAAACCACCTATGTAGTCAGTTGGGTCTCTGCCTTTGTGCGCCAAAGTCCATCCTCAGACTCTGTGGGACCCTTAGTGCACTCGCGTTCCGCTGCCATGGCTGCAGGGGGAGGGGTGAGTGGGGTGGTTAGGAGCAGGTGGCCAGGCCTCCACCAGCAGCCGGCTGCCTCAGTCTGCATGTCGATGATTGAGTATGCTTTCTTCACCAGCGCAGTGAGGAAACTACTACACCAGCCGCTAGGCAGCTAGCAGCATCAGGTGGGGACCTGGAGCAGGACCTCAAACAACAGGCTTGGGCCTACTTGGACAGCACCCTGCCAACCGAGGTTAGACAAATCCCCTTTGGACTAGCTGGGCAACGAAAAAACTTGACATTTGGCCACCTACTAGCTGAATTTGCCCTTTGTGGAAAGGCTGTCATGGCCCGGCCAGTAGCGTCGGGCATCGGAGTCGTTGGCGATGTGTTTGTAGTGCAGGGCCAAGGAGGTATTGTAAACTCCGCGGGAGGGACACGACTTGTTCCACCCCAAAAGTGTGGAAGAGACTCACAGTTTGTGAAAATGAAAATCAGTGCGTGGATTAGTCTGGATTTCAACAACCACAGTTCCTGACACAACTGACTAAATCCGCCATGTATCATGCCGCCAAAACATGTTATTTTATTTTTTAAACATAGGCCTCAGTATGGCCTTCAATTTAAGCTTTTTGCTTACGCTTCGCCACTCTGCCATGGGCCCTGTACCGCCTCCTCTTGCTGCTTGCCAGGTCATGAGTGTGTCATGGGTCCCTGCTTACGGCCTCCTCATTGCTGCTGTCTCTCATCGCACACACTATGCCATGTGCCACTTTCAGTATCCTCACTCTGCTGGTGGCGTTTCCATTTTGTCATAGGGTGATGGCTAGATTTCGGGCCTCCCATTGCTTGCTTGCCAGTCCCGGTAATCTGCCATGGTCCACCGTACCGACTCCTCATGCTGCTTGCCAGGCCCGTTTAATCTGTCATTGGGCCCCTGTACCGCCCTCTCATTGCTGCGCGCCAGGTTCCAGAGTGTGTCATGGGTCCACTGTTTACGGCCTCCCCATTGCTGCTGACAGGCCCGTAATCTGCCATGGGCCCCCGTACGACTCCTCATGCTGCTGCCAGGCCCGTAATCTGTCATGTAATGCTGCTGCTGTCATGGGTCCCTGTTCCCTGTAATCTGCCTGCCTCCTCATGCTGCTGCAGGTCCAGTTGTATGGGTCCTTGTGCCTCCAATCACTGCTGCTGTCCCTGTACGGTCCTCCCATTGCTGCTGTCTCCATCGCCACACTCTGCTGTCATGTGCCACTTTCAGGTCTCCTCACACTGCTGGTGGGTTCCATTTTGTCATAGGGTGCTGGCAGATTTACGGGCCTCCCATTGCTGCTGCCAGGCCCGTAATCTGCCATGGGCCCCCGTACCGACTCTCTCATGCTGCTGCCAGGCCCGTAATCTGTCATGGGCCCCTGTACCGCCTCCTCATGCTGCTGCCAGGTCCAGAGTGTGTCATGGGTCCCTGTACGGCCTCCCATTGCTGCTGCCAGGCCCGTAATCTGCCATGGGCCCCGTACCGACTCCTCATGCTGCTGCCAGGCCGTAATCTGTCATGGGCCCCTGTACCGCTCCTCATGCTGCTGCCAGGTCCAGAGTGTGTCATGGGTCTGTACGGCCTCCCATTGCTGCTGTCTCCATCGCCACACTCTGCCATGTGCCACTTTCAGGTCTCCTCACACTGCTGGTGGATTCCATTTTTTCATAGGGTGCTGGCAGATTACGGGACTTCCCATTGCTGCTGCCAGGCCCGTAATCTGCCATGGGCCCCCGTACCGACTCCTCATGCTGCTGCAGGCCCGTAATCTGTCATGGGCCCCTGTACCGCCTCCTCATGCTGCTGCCAGGTCCAGAGTGTGTCATGGGTCCCTGTACGGCCTCCCATTGCTGCTGCCAGGCCCATAATCTGCCATGGGCCCCGTACCGACTCCTCATGCTGCTGCCAGGCCCGTAATCTGTCATGGGCACCCTGTACGCCTCCTCATGCTGCTGCCAGGTCCAGAGTGTGTCATGGGTCCCTGTACGGCCTCCCATTGCTGCTGTCTCCATCGCCACACTCTGCCATGTGCCACTTTCAGGTCTCCTCACACTGCTGGTGGGTTCCATTTTGTCATAGGGTGCTGGCAGATTACGGGCCTCCCATTTGCTGCTGCCAGGCCCATAATCTGCCATGGGCCCCGTACCGACTCCTCATGCTGCTGCCAGGCCGTAAACCCCGTAATCTGTCATGGGGACCGTAATCTGCTGCATCCAGGGTGTCCTGTACCGTACGGCTCCTTGCTGCTGCCAGCCCGTAATCTGCTGCCCCGTTGTTACCAAACTCCAGAGGGTGTAATCTGTCATGGGCCCCTGTCCGCCTCCTCATGTACGGCCCCTCGGCCTCCCATTGCTGCTGCGCCACACTCTGCCATGTGCAGGTCTCCTCACACTGTGGTAATCCATTTTTGTCATAGGGCCCCCCCATTGCTACTGCGGCCGTTAATCTGCCTCCCCGTACCGACTCCTCATGCTGCTGCCAGGCCCGTAATCTGTCATGGGCCCCTGTACCGCCTACTCATGCTCATGCTGCCAGGTCCAGAGTGTGTCATGGGTCATGTACGGCCTCCCATTGCTGCTGCCAGGCCCGTAATCTGCCATGGGCCCCGTACCGACTCCTCATGCTGCTGCCAGGCAATCTGGGTCATGGACCCCTGTACGGCCTCCATTGCTGCCAGGTCCAGAGTGTGTCCTGGGTCTCCACGGCCTCCATTGCTGCTGTCTCCATCGCCACACTCTGCCATGTGCCACTTTCAGGTCTCCTCACACTGCTGGTAGATTCCATTTTGTCATAGGGTGCTGGCAGATTACGGGCCTCCCATTGCTGCTGCCAGGCCCGTAATCTGCCATGGGCCCCCGTACCGACTCCTCATGCTGCTGCCAGGCCGTAATCTGTCATGGGCCCCTGTACCGCCTCCTCATGCTGCTGCCAGGTCCAGAGTGTGTCATGGGTCCCTGTACGGCCTCCCATTGCTGCTGCCAGGCCCGTAATCTGCCATGGGCCCCCGTACCGACTCCTCATGCTGCTGCTGCCAGGCCCGTAATCTGTCATGGGCCCCTGTACCGCCTCCTCATGCTGCTGCCAGGTCCAGAGTGTGTCATGGGTCCTGTACGGCCTCCCATTGCTGCTGTCTCCATCGCCACACTCTGCCATGTGCCACTTTTTAGGTCTCCTCACACTGCTGGTGGATTCCATTTTGTCATAGGGTGCTGGCAGATTACGGGCCTCCCATTGCTGCTGCCAGGCCCGTAATCTGCCATGGGCCCCCGTACCGACTCCTCATGCTGCTGCCAAGCCCGTAATCTGTCATGGGCCCCTGTACCGCCTCCTCATGCTGCTGCCAGGTCCAGAGTGTGTCATGGGTCCCTGTACGGCCTCCCATTGCTGCTGTCTCCATCGCCACACTCTGCCATGTGCCACTTTCAGGTCTCCTCACACTGCTGGTGGGTTCCATTTTGTCATAGGGTGCTGGCAGATTACGGGCCTCCCATTGCTGCTGCCAGGCCCCGTAATCTGCCATGGGCCCCCGAACCGACTCCTCATGCTGCTGCCAGGCCCGTAATCTGTCATGGGCCCCTGTACCGCCTCCTCATGCTGCTGCCAGGTCCAGAGTGTGTCATGGGTCCCTGTACGGCCTCCCATTGCTGCTGTCTCCATCGCCACACTCTGCCATGTGCCACTTTCAGGTCTCCTCACACTGCTGGTGGGTTCCATTTTGTCATAGGGTGCTGGCAGATTACGGGCCTCCCATTGCTGCTGCCAGGCCCGTAATCTGCCATGGGCCCCCGAACCGACTCCTCATGCTGCTGCCAGGCCCGTAATCTGTCATGGGCCCCTGTACCGCCTCCTCATGCTGCTGCCAGGTCAGAGTGTGTCATTGGTCCCTGTACGGCCTCCCATTGCTGCTGCCAGGCCGTAATCTGCCATGGGCCCCCGTACTGACTCCTCATGCTGCTGCCAGGCCCGTAATCTGTCATGGGCCCCTGTACCGCCTCCTCATGCTGCTGCCAGGTCCAGAGTGTTTCATGGGTCCCTGTACGGCCTCCCATTGCTGCTGTCTCCATCGCCACACTCTGCCATGTGCCACTTTCAGGTCTCCTCACACTGCTGGTGGGTTCCATTTTGTCATAGGGGTGCTGACAGATTACGGGCCTCCCATTGCTGCTGCCAGGCCCGTAATCTGCCATGGGCCCCCGTACCGACTCCTCATGCTGCTGCCAGGCCCGTAATCTGTCATGGGCCCCTGTACCGCCTCCTCATGTGCTGCCAGGTCCAGAGTGTGTCATGGGTCCCTGTACGGCCTCCCATTGCTGCTGTCTCCATCGCCACACTCTGCCATGTGCCACTTTCAGGTCTCCTCACACTGCTGGTGGGTTCCATTTTTTCATAGGGTGCTGTATGGCCTCCCATTGCTGCTGCCTCCACCGCCACACTGTGGCTCCACACTCTGGTTTTGGCCCCGTGACTGCCCAAATGAGTGAAGTGTGCGGTGATTCTAAGATCGACGGCACTCATCTGCATGTCATACTGACTGACAGTATTATTTCTCTTTCCCAGCAGACTCCAAGGGCATTTAAATTAAAGGTACAGTGTTGTGCACTAATATAAAGGCTCTCTGAAGCCTAGAAACACCCTTTTTATAAGTTAAATTCGCAGCGAATATATTCGACTCGAATCGAATTTATTCCGCGAATTCGCCGAATCAGCCGAATCGAATTTTTGAATACTTCGCTCATCTCTAGGTATAATATTAACCTCTGTTAAAGTGTTACTAAACCCACAACAGTAAAATCAGTCTATATATGCAGTAAAGCATGCTTGTTATACTCACTGTAGATCTTAAGGGGTTAATCCTCTGCATTGTGTAAAAAGGCCATTTGATCCTTTCTTCTCTGCTCCTCCTCTTGTTCAAATGTCCACGCCTTATCTCCTGATAAGACAGACTGAACCCATAGCTATACTGGACGTGCTCAGTTTGGTGTATATTGCTAGAGAGGTTTTTTTTCTTGGGAGAGTAGATGTAATGAGCACGAGGCCGATCACCACTGTCCGGACAGAGGTCAGAGGTTTTGCATCCTCCTAGTGCAGAAAGAAAACTCCTCCTACAAGTTTTAACCAGTGCCCTGCTGAAGTCACAAGACTGCTCTAACTGCTGATGAGAAAAGGTATTTAGCAGTTTATATTTACTAAAATAATTGCACTTCTATGTTCTGTGTACTGTGGGAGACCAGATATAGTGAATGCAGAGTTCTGGGTTTAGTAACACTTTAACTTCCTAAAGTGACTGTTGCCCAATTCTTCCACCCAAAGAGAGTTAAAGATTCTGTGCTGAGAAGAAATGCTAGCCCGCAGAGAGTTTGGGCACTGGTGTTTCTCACTTTCACTGGATGGTTAAGGGGTTAAAAACAGATAGGCCAGCATCATAGGATGTGGTGGATAGAGCCTGGTTGTCATGTTTCACATGACTGTCATATTGACTGTCATATGCCTTTAAATGTTTTCAGTGTTTTGTTTCTGCTCCTCCCTTTCCTTTAGTTTAGCTAATGTTGCATAGATTGCCCTCCCCCTTCCCAGAGATGCATTGCAACAGCCTCATGGCAAGAAGCAGAAACAGTATGTTCTTTCGACCTATCGAATGTTTTGATTGTTGTCAGATTCTCTCAGTTTATGGAATAAACTTCACAAGATCTGCAAGATATCATTCTGATTGAGTCACTGACTGTGGGCCCCAACTGAGGTTGAAGTTATTGCTATCTCATCACAACTGTAAGTTACAGAGATCACACTATCAATGCTTAGATTGGACACACAGAACAATGGTGCTTGCATGTTTGGATTGCTACGTGACTGGAAAGGAAGGGTGGGAGGAGTCGACCTCCTGAAGTATGCAAGCCAGCTTTGATACGGTGTGCAAACAGCATAATAACTACTAGGGCAGGCCTTGAAATTTACACTCCCCAGATCGCATTGGCAAGTGGAAATTATAATGTGTCCCCAGGGACGTCTTGCTGAGCAGGCTCGGAACTGAGGGCGGGATCTGTAACTCGCACTGAGAGCCGTCAGACTGCTCAGTAGTTGAGCAAAGTGAAAGCAAAGGAAGGAGTGTGTGCTGTGCTCTCTGCCTCCCCCTAGACTACATAGAGTGCAATACTCGGCTCTGTGAGTGAAGGTAACGAAATACTGCAACTTTGTATAGGGCTGTGTCTGTGTGTGTATTTGTATGTGTGTGTGTACATGTGTGTGTGTGCATTTGTATGTGTGTGTGTGTACGTGTGTGTGTATTTGTATGTGTGTGTGTATGTACATGTGTGTGTGTTTGTGTGTGTCTGTGTATGCATGTACATGTGTCTGTGTGTATGTACATGTGTGTATCTGTACATGTGTCTGCGTGTATGTACATGTATGTGTACATGTGTATATGTGTGTGTGTGTGTGTGTGTGTGTGTGTGCATGTACGTGTGTGTGTTTGTGTGTATATACGTACATGTGTCTGTGTGTACATGTGTCTGTGTATGTATTGTATGTACATGTGTCTGTATGTACATGTGTCTGTATATGTATGTACATGTATCTATGTGTATGTACATGTGTCTGTGCATGTGTATTTCTGTGTATGTTTGTCTGTGTGTGTCTGTGTATGCATGTACATGTGTCTGGGTGTATGTACATGTGTGTATCTGTACATGTGCCTGCCTGTATGTATGTATGTATGTGTGTGTGTACATGTACATGTGTGTGTGCATGTACGTGTGTGTGTTTGTGTGTATGTACGTACATGTGTCTGTGTGCACATGTGTCTGTGTATGTATTGTATGTACATGTGTCTGTCTGTATGTACATGTGTCTGTATATGTATGTATATGTGTCTGTCTGTATGTACATGTGTCTGTATATGTATGTACATGTGTCTTTGTGTATGTACATGTGTCTGTGCGTGTGTATTTCTGTGTATGTTTGTCTGTACATGTGTCTGTGTGTATAAATGTGTCTGTATGTGTGTGTGTGTAAATGTTTCTGTGTGTGTATGCGTTTGTGTGTATGTACAGTACATGTCTGTGTGTGTGTACAGGTGTCTCTGTTTGTGTGTGTATATGTACATGTGTCTGTATGTAAACCTACATGTATGGGTGGTTTGGTCAGGTTCCAGATTATGTGGTTATTATGGGTGTTAGAGGATGGGGCATTTGAGGTACTGCTGGTGGATAGTAGATAGGATATGCTTGGTAGAGTTTTTTTGCAATATAAAGGAAAAAAGTCTAACTTCATTAGCCCTGTCCATGTGACTGCAGTGACCAGTCTCAGTGATCACATTAGTAAACAAGGGCATCATGAATGAAAGCCATTTTTTACTACTGTTATGCAGGCCCTGTATCCTAATCTGTGATCCACTTTGTGCGAGTGGGAGGATATTGTCCTACCCAGCCACTGTACATATGCGGCCAAAAGCATTTTTGTCCATAATTCTCTTCTGGGTCATAGGACTGCACTTACTTTTGCTCTCCCGTGACCTAGAATCAGCTACAGAGCTCCTCCAGGCTCTGAAAAGATCCTGATCATATTGTCGGGATACACCCAGATGCTTGATCGGTGGTTGGCTTAGTCTCTCAGCACACTGCGGAGAGCCTGAGTCAGCTGCTTCCGCCCCCCACCCCCTCAGCTCAGTGCTCCAATAAGCACTGTAGGGGCAGAGTAGAGATCTGTAACTGACAGCCATGACTCTCTTTTCCAGGAAGATAGAGAACTAATCTATCAGTGCTTATGTGATCCTTCAGTTCATGGGCTTAGAACAGGAGGGGGGGGGGAGGACAGCTGCAGCATCACACAGATGCTGAAGCATGAAGGTGAGTATAGATACAGTTGTTCTCAAAAGTTTGCATACCCTGGCAGAAAGTGTGACATTTTGGTATTGATATTGAAAATATGACTGATCATGCCAAAAATGTTATTTTATTGAAGGATAATGATCATATGAAGCCATTTATTATCAAATAGTTGTTTGGCTCCTTTTTAAATCATAATGATAACAGAAATCACCCAAATGGCCATCATCAAAACTTTACATACCCTGGAATGTTTGGCCTTGGTACAGACACACAAGGTGACACACATGGGCTAAAATGCCAATTAGAGGTCCCAGATCTGTTGCTTTTTAAATTGCAATTAGTGTCAGTGTATAAATAGCCAATGAGTTTGTTAGCTCTTAGATAAAAGCACTGAGTAGGCCAGATCCTGAGCCACGGGGATCAGAAAAGAGCTGTCAAAAGTCCTGCATAACAAGGTAATGGAACTTTATAAAGATGGAAAAAGACATAAAAAATGTCCAAAGCCTTGAATATGCCAATCAGTACCGTTAAATCGCTTATTAAGAAATGGAAAGTTCGGGGATCTCTTGATACCAAGCTAAGGTCAGGTAGACCAAGAAAGATTGCAGCCATAATTGACAGAAGAATTGTCTGGGATTCAAAGAAAAACCCACAGGCAACCTCAAAAGAAAAACAGGCTGCTCTGGAAAAAGATGGTGTGGTTGTTTTTAAGGAGTACAATACGGTGATACTTGAACAAAAATCAGCTGTTTGGTCGAGGTGCCAGAAAGAAGCATTTACTGCACCAATGCCACAAAAAAAAAGCCCAGTTACAATATGCCTGACAACACCTTGACATGCCTAACCAGGCTTTTTTGTGTCATTGATGCAGTAAAGGCTTCTTTCTGGCACCTCCACCATGCAGCTCATTTTTGTTGAAGTGTCATCATAGTGTGCTCCTTCAAAACAACCACACTGTCTTTTTCCAGAGCAGCCTATATTTTTCTTGTGGTTACCTATGAGTTTCCCTTTGTATCCCGAAAAATTCTTCTGGTAGTTGT